TTAGGGAATCAGTGTTGCGAAACCATGTGTTTTGAATATTGTTTGGGAACTCGATGTTGAAATCCTTCCGGAACCGAAGGTTCTTGAAGGATTTCGGAATGCGCGCGCGACGACGCGCGCGTGTGCACTTCGTTCCTTTTTTTGCAAGGGATTCTTGGCAACTTATGATTTCTGATATGCGAGAGTGCGCGCATAGCTTTTTGCAGAGCATGGCGGGGGGGAGTGATGCCGGTTTGGCTGGGATCGTATGAATTCATTTTTTGGATGGGCGATGGGGCAGAATCGTGTGAAATTGCAGTACGGTAAAAAGGGTATCGTTATTTCTGGGGGGTAGAGTTTATTTCTTCTACAGAAGAGAATTTATGTTGTGCAATCTATGTGGTGCGTTCGATGTGCTGCATCTACGTGGTGCAACATATGAGGTGCAGTTCACGGTGCCGAACTTGAAGTTGTCAACCCCACTGCCCGCGCAGACATCCCACCCACCCACCCGCAATTTGGTTTGCAAAACCCATGCGACGGCGATCGGGATGAGTGCTGACCAGCTGTGCGGCGCGACCAGCGCGGCCGCGGTGGCACCGACCGCTGGGCACTTCCAGCGGAACTTCAGTGCGAATCGGTGACGTTCGCGGGCGCGGTATCATGGCGACGCCAACAACGGCAGACACGATGATGAGAGTGGCGGTGATGGTGACGATGGTGGCGATGACGACGGCAAGGCCAATGACGGCGCCGATGTTGATCACGCCCGCCGATAACGAGGACGATGTCCCCGCGTCGGTGATGAAGATTTTGGGGGGAGTTCGACATGCGCGCGCGGCTGACGCGCGCGAGTGGCCCCCATGCCATGATTTGGCACGGATCGTGCCCCCCAACACGCGTCCAAAGGGCGTTCATATGAGTGCGACGTGCGGCGCGAGAGGCCCTTTTGGCAGACTTGGATGGCAATGTTGAACAAGCTATAGTTTCCTTAAGAATTCGCTAGAGCGCGCGCGCAAGCATTTGTTTGAAAACAATATGTTGCAAAACCATGTGTGTGCATGACTATTCGGAACATTCGTTTGTGAAACCCTTACGGCACCGACGGTTTTTGAGGGATTTCGGCACGCGTGCGCGATAACGCCCGCGCGTCGTCCCATTTTTTGCGAAAAGGGTTTTTTGCGACGTCATGCGCGCAAGGGCGTTCGAGCGATTTCGACACGCGCGCGCGAGAGGCCATTTTGGTTTCATTGTATCAAAAAGTTTCACATATATGTGTATATATATGTATATATGTAGATATGTGTGTATATATATATGTATATGTGTATATACATATGTATATATATGTATATATACGAACATATATATATATACAAGACCGCAGTGGCACTTCGCGCCTCGCACCTTGGTCCTTGAAGTTTGGTACGCAGGCGGAATAGCAGGAAGGTCAAGCCAACAATTCAGCGATAACTCCTGGTTGCCTTTTCTGGCATCGCCTCTATATTATGTTTATTCGTTATCCTTCGTCCATGCTTCTTTTTCCTTATTTTCGCCATGCCCTGCGCATTCCCCCCATCCTTCTCAGCTGTTTTTCGCGGAGGTTCCTCCTTGGAGAGCCTCTAGGGGCCTCACAACAGTTGTTTCAGGCTTTCTTAAGGCCTTCTGGAGACCTCCTGGGCGTATTCTGGGGGCCTCCGGGGGCTTCCTCGGGCCACCCTGCCTCCAACCGCGGTTTCCCTGAACGACCGGGTCACGATTTGGAGTTCTTCGGAGGGTGTCTTTGGGCCATTTTGGGCCGCCATGGGGCTCTCTGAGGGCCATTTTGGGCCCGTGTTATGTCGTTTTGGGGGTCTCTTGGACTGCCTGGAAGCCCTTTCGGATGGTTGTGGGGCGATTTTGGAGCCTCCCAGGCGGCTTCGGACGCCCAGAAGACCGCCGTCTTGGAGCGCCGGGAAGCCGAAAAGAGGAGAACACTGCAAGTTACCAAAACCAAAAGAAAATCAATTGTTTTTGCGTCGGGGGGCCTTCTTGGGAGTGCTCTTGGAGGCCCCTTTGGGGCCGTCATGGAGGCCTCTTGGGCCATCTTGAGGTCACGTCGGTCACTCTTGGAGCGATCTTGTGCTGTCTTGGGGGTCTCTGGGACGTCTCCGATGACTCCCCTGATCGCCCTAGGTATGCTGGGAAGGCTTGGCAAAACGCCATGTGAGGCCCGATGGCCGCTTCGAGACCCGTCGCGGGGGTCCCAAAGCCCCAGATCCCATGAGTCCGGTTTGTTGGGGGGGGATGATGGGGTTTCCCCCCGCCCGGGCTTATAAAGATATAGGAAGAGGAATATGGTTTCTTGTAAAGAGTTGGCAAAAGCGCCGGCGCAGGCTTGTTTGAACAGCCGAGTTGCGAAACCATTTTTCATGTTTCCCGGATATTCGGATTTGAAACCCTTACGATACCGACGGTGCTTGAGAGATTTCGGCATGCGCGCCCGACGACGCGCGCGTGCGCATTTCGTGCCATGTGTTGCAAGGGCTTGTCGGAAACTGCTGATTTGTGATAAACGAATGCGCGCATACCATTTTTTCCGGAGGATGAAGGGGGCGAGGCCCGACTGTCTGGGATGGAACGAATTCTGATTCAGGATGGAAAGTGGGGCAGACTCATACATGAATTGCAGGATTGGAAAAGGAAATCGTTAAGTCCGAGTGGGGGGGAGGTCGATCAAAATATTCTTTTAGAAGGGAGAATCTACGTTGTGAAATCACCTTTGACCGTCTTGAAGCTGTCCTCTCCGCTGCTCGTGCAAACATCCCACCCTCGCACCCGCAACTTGGTCGCAAGACCTCTCAACTCAAGACCGTGACGGTAGGCACCACATGGCACTTGGCCACGAAACCGACGCCGTCGACGACAGCGACCACGGCGACGACGACGACGGCGGCGACGACGACGCCGACGTCGACGACGACAAAGACGACGACGACGCCGACGCCGACGACGACGACGAAGACGACGACGACGTCGCCAACGAAGACGACGACGAGGGAGGGGGGAGGACGACGACGGCGACAACGACGACAACGACGACAACGACGACAACGACGAGGGAGGAGGGAGGACGGCGACGACGCGAACGCAAAGAAGAAGGAAGGACGGCGAAGCCGACGACGACAACGTCGAGGGAGGAGAGAAGACGCCGACAACGACGACGACGACGACGACGATGACGGCGACGGAATAGGAGGGACGACGACGAGACGCCGACGACGGACGACAACGACGACGAGGGAGGAGGAGGAAGGACGACCACGGCGACAACGACGACGGTGTAGGCGACGACGACGACGAGGACGCGGGAGGAGGGAGGACGGCGACGACGACGACGACGACGACGCAAGAGCGCGCGCGCACGCTGTTGTTGAAAATCCGTGTTGCGAAACCTTGTGTGTTTGTAGGTTTTTTGGGACACACGATTTTGAAATCCTTCCGAAACCGATGGGTTTTGAAGGATTTCGGCATACGCGCGCGACGACGCGCGCGTCTGCACTTCGTCCCGTTTTTTTGCAGAGGATTCTCGCGACGGCACACGCGCAAGGACGTTCGACTGATTTCGACATATACGAGCACGAGGCCCGTTTGCTAGAATTTTGTGTAAATCTTGAAAAACCCATGGTTTTCTCCAGATTTCGCGAGAGCTCGCGCGTAAGCTTTTTTAGCAGATCAGTGTTGCGAAACCCTGCGTTTTTGTATGTTTGTTTGTGGAAGCTCGATTGCGAAATCTTTCCGGCACCGAAGGTTTTCGAAGGATTTCGGCAGGCGCGCGGGACGACGCGCGCGTGCGCCTTTCGTCCCATTTTTTGCAAAGGATTCGTGAACTAGTGTTATGCTAGAACAAAAAATGTCACCGCGTATTATTTTTTCTTACAGAGGAACCTCAGGGGGGGAACCCGGTTGGCTTGGGACATTGTGATTTCATATTTAGGATGGACATGTCGTCATAATCATATACGATTTACATACCGGAAAGGGGTACCGATAACGCCGGGGGGGGGTCGAGTCTATTCTCTTTTCCAGGGAAGAGAATTTTTAACGGCGACGGGGCGGCGACGCCGAACACAGAACCGCCAAACCGACAGACGGGCCCAGGCGACGGGCGGCGACGAGCCGGCGACTGGTTGGCGACGGTGGCCACATAGCCGCCAGACCGAAGACACGGCGACGAATCGGAGACGGGGCGGCGACGTCGGCCACATAGCCGCCAGACCGAACTCACGGCTCAGTGAACATAAGTAACAACCCCTGACTGAGTGCAAGCACGTTTGGGGAACATCGACTGCACCATAGTGATTTGCCCCACACAGATTGCACAGCCTAGACTGTCAGAAACACTGTTCAGGGGCCGACGCTAGCTGACATGCTGTGTGTTGTTCCTCTATGTGGGGTTTGCCCGAGCGCGCATACGGACTGCCTCTGCCGCGCTGCGACGTAAAAGGCGTGTTGTTCTTCTACTGCTGTATGATGCCGCTTCGGTTGGGTGTCTCTTTTAGTGTTGACTCGGGCCGTGGCGCTTGCCTGTCAGTGCCAAGAGTGCTAAGGCACGGCTGCAGGCAAGCTAAACGGCGTGCCACGGGCAGCTGCATTGCGCCTGCCCGCCAAGCCTCCTCCCGGGCCCTCGCCACCCTCGCCTTGCACGCCACATCGGGGCACATCTTGATCCGATCGATCCGATCTGGCGTCGATTTCGGCCAGCCCGACCCGGTTTGGTTACTGTATTTCGACGATCCGGATGCGGCCCGATGCTTGCACGGCTCTGTTGTGCGTCTTCACGCGGCAGATCCAATTCGACTCCGTGCCGATGCAGTCCGATCCGACGCATGTTCCGCTTCGATCCGACTGCCCGATTCGAGGCTGACTGATCTTGGGAGACGACCCCGCGGCGTTAGGCCGTGGGCGAGCGTGGGCGAGGAGGAGGAGGAGGAGGATCAGGAGGAGGAGGAGTCCCTGCCCCACCCCCCTCTCCGCGGCAGGAGGCGGGTCCTGGGGGCATGCTATACATGCAGAAGATCGAGGAGCTCGAGGCCGAGAACGCGCGGCTCGAGGATCGGGGGCGGCCAAGAGGGGGGTGCTGACTGGGGTGGGGAAATCACGGCGGGGGCCATGATATCCCAGATGTCACGCCTCCTCTTGCTTCCGGCCCCCCCCCTTCTTGTTTCAATGCGTCCCCAGCCACCGCCCCCTGGGCGGGCACATGCCGCCGGCCATGATTTGCGCCCCCCGTCCCCCTCGTGGACGCCCACCTCTCCAACGCCCCCGCCCGACAGGACGTGGCGCGGAACGCGGCGTCCCTCTACGTGCCGAAGATACAGGCGCGGCCCCGCCTCCGGAAGAAGACCAAGACTGCACAAGCATAAACTTTCGGAACTCCGCGCGGGTTTCTCGGATCGGCGTCAGAGCCCCTTCGCGGCGCCTCCGTCGCCGCAGCTGGCGCGCTCCGCGCACCAGGGAGGGGGGCCCAACGCCGACCCCAGAAATCCTCGCGGACCTCCGAAAGTTTATGTTTTTGCAGCTTTGTATTCTTCGACCCTCTCTTGCCACCCGCCCTCGCCGGCTCCGCCGGCGTGGTGCCCCCCTGGGCTTGGGGCCTCTGGCCACGGCTCGGGGCACGGGCGCGCGCGAGCACGGGCTGTTCCCGCAAGCCCCCCCCCCCCCCGGGGGATTGCGCCGCATCGCTGGTGCAGCGGCGATGCGGCTCGACCTGGAGCCCGACTCTCTGCACGCCAATGCCAGACCCCTCGGATCCGTGACAGAAGACAGAGCCAGGCCTCGAGACCGTCAAAAAGCGGCTCTGGATGAGAAGCTGGTCCCAGAGAGTGGGTCCAGGACGACGTCCTGAAAAAATCATGACGTCGGGGGCCTGGGATGTCGCCGATGCATCGCCGATGTCACCGACGCATCGGCGATGTGGAGGGCAGATTCGGGCAGCCATGATCGAAAACCGCAGAGCGCAACCCGGGTTATTCAGCCGCCCAACAACAGTTTATTAAGTGCGAGGGTTATTGCAAGCCTGCAGCTGGGGCCTCGAGCTTCAGGCTTCCTGGGGTGTGCTGACTGCGCGGCCTCCCGCTCCGAGGCGCCCGGAGGAGCCGCCCCGCTGTGCTGCTGGCCCGTGCAGGTCGGGGTGCGTGCATTGGTGCCGACGGGCTCGGCCGCTCAACCACAGCGCGCGGCCGCGCTTCCGGAGGAAGCGGGCAAACGACGACTCGGGGCTCACGTAAGGCGGGTCAGCGCTGACTGGGTTCAGCCAATCCCCTTTGGCTGGCCCAGGTTTAAGAGCCCAGTGAGGCCAATCCAATTCCCCCTTCTTCCGCCCTCCACTGACCTGGGTTTGATTATAATTCGGTGGCCGGCCTTTGGCCGAATCCAAACAACGACGCAGCGAAAACGACGTTGACGACGACGATGGCGACGACGATGACGACGACGATGACGAAGACGACGAAGACGACGAAGACGACGACGACGACGACGACGACGACGACGACGACGACGACGACGACGACGTCAACCAGGCAGCGAAGACGGCCAAGACGGCCATGGCGCGCCCGCGTGCAGGAGCTCGAGGACGAGGCCCTGGAGGCGCAGCGAGAGCTCGACCAGGTGCCGCGCGCACCTCCGTGCGGCCCTGCGCGGGAGCGGGGCGCTGTGCACCGGGGCACAGTTTTCTTTGTCGGGGGGGGGAGGGGGCGGCTCGCACGGGGCGGTGGCGCCTGGGAGTGTCTGGGAGCGCCTGGCCTTGGAGCGCCTGGGTGCGTTCGGGAGCGCTTGGGAGCGCCTGCGAGCACTCGGCAGGGCCTGGGAGCGCCTGGGAGCGGCGAGGGGGCCGGCCCTATCAGAAACGGGGGGGGGGTTCTTAGGAGGCAGGGGGCCAGTTTCCAGGAAGTTCTGGCTTCGCGCACGAGTATCGGGGACCCCCAAAACCGCGCGGTGACGTACTGCGTGGTGACCTTTGGACCCCAAGAGACCTCACCGCGCGGTCCGTCACCGCACGGTGCTGGGGCCCCTGGAGGCTCCAGTCGCCCGAGACGTCCCTGGGAGAGCGGCTCGAGTCCCAAGACCGCACGGTGACCCCAAATCCCAACCGACTCATCACACGGCGTGGTCACCACACCGTTTGCTTGAAATCGCTCGAACGTGTGCGTTTTTTCTCTCCTCGGCGAGGACCACTGAGGAGCATCCCGGGTCCTTTCGAAGAATGGACGCGCGCCATCGATAACAAAAAGAAACACTGGAAATGCACGTCCGGGTGCGGGCAAATTTGGTGATCCCCGAATAAGGGCGGCTGGCGCGATGGGGGCAGCTTTCTCAGAAGCAGGGCGGAGTTCTTGGCTAGACGGGCTCACGGCGGTGTAGGTAACGGCGATGTAGGTTTCGGTAGTGTGGGAACGCGTGGCTTACGCGTTCCCACCATTTGCTGTGTCGTGTTCGCTCGATCCATTCGCAGAATGGAAATGTATAAAGGTGTTGTTCGTGATTCCCTACACCTTGGTTCCCAACATTACCGCTCAGCAACATCGCCGTTAAGCCCGACCTTGGTCTTAGAAGGAAGGAGGAGGAGAAGGAGGAGGAGGACCGGTGTAAACCCAAGATTCATCAACAATGTTGGAATTAACACTTCCTCCAAGCTGCCTCTTCATCGGCCCCTACGACGGTTCATTTCCATTGAGGGAACTGCCTCGTTGGAAGACGACCGTTTGAAGATCCTCAATCATGCCAAAACATTGCCAAATCTTGTGGCTAGAGATCTAGCTCGAGCTCTCGCGGCTACTGGAATCCACATTCGCGCAGCCCGATTGGACCTCGGTGGGGCGGACACAGGTCCGTTGGCGAGACCTGCCCACAAACGCTTCAAGAAGCGCACGCAGCGATGGTTCATGGAGTGGCTGCTCCGGCAAGACAACTACAGTGTGGAGTGGCGTCTACGTGGGCGGCTATCACGCTGGAGACTGCCCGTCTACCCAGGCCAGCTGGCACGCAGAGTAGCACAGCAACTACAACGACTGCGACGCCTGGTGCCGCCGAGGCTATGCGCAGCATCTCTGAGCACTGTGCTGAACAGATGGACGACAGACCGCCGCATGCGCAGCCTCCGGGGACAACATGGCCCATGCATACTCCGATGCAGCCCAAAGGCCCAAGACGCTGTGGAGCAGTACTGCCAATGTCCAGTTTTACGTGGCTGGCAGCGACGACGGCTGGGACAAGATATTTTGCAACATGGTTTGCTGCATGCCGTATTGGGCACGCCGATGGACGATGATACCTTGATGCGTCAAGCCGTATCCACTTACGTTCTATATCGCATTGTGAACCACATGCGCCACCAAGGCGGGCAGGCTTCCGCGGATCAGACGACGTATGTTTCGCAATACATGGACCAATTGCTTCACGAGGCGTGCCGCGGTTGTGCCCGTCTGCGAACGGCTTGCGGATGTTTTGGACGTGGTTACGGCGACCACGAGAGGCGGCTGCTGAGCGCCCAGCCCGACGAGTACGACGACGAGTACATTGACCTTTTCTTCCTCTTCGCCGTCTACCGCATCCTGTGGGGGGCCGCTAATAGATGATGTTCTGGACGGGGATGACAGGTGTCAGTGCCTGTACGTTGTTTTACACATTGACCTTCTCTGAGCGCAACGCGTTCCACTTCACATCATGTTATCCTACTCGGGTCTTTCTGTCCGTCGTGCTTTTGCGTTTGTTTCTCCACGCCGCCGACGTTGCCGATTTCAAGTCCGAGGACGCCCCAGCTTCTTTGGACGATCAGTGCTCATGAGTTTGCCGATTTCTGCGCTGACCAGTTCGTTGACTCTCGCATCAACCTGGTGAGCGGCCCTCGCGCCGACCGTCTCACCGACGCCACCGCCAACGCCTGCGCCTACGCCAGCACCAACGCCAGCATCGACGCCAGCGCCAATGCTCAGGCCTACGCCTACACCAACGACAGGGCCTGTGCAACCGTTGACACCAGTACAGGCGACAGCACCAACTCTGGCGCCTACGCCGGCATGAACGCTAGCGCCTCCACCATCACCAGCGCCAGCATTGACGCCAATACCAACACCGACGTCAGTACCAAAGCAGACGCTTCCGCTGGCATGACTGCAAGAACCCCACCAGCACCAGCATCAGCATCGACGCCAGCACCATCGCCCAGGCCCACGCCTGCACCAACCCCAGCGCCTACGCCACCGCCGACGCCAGCACCGACGACAGCACCAACGATGGCGCCTGCGCCGGCATGAACGCCAGCGCCTCTAACAGCACCACCGTGTGGAGTTACGTCACGTTTTGGGGTGGGCTGTTTCCATGAGCCTCTGTGGGACTTGCTGTGCAGATGACGGCGAGGCTACAGCTTTGGGCGCGATGTGCAGGCTAGCTCCGACCCACGCACCTGATTTGCAGCACCACGCATGTTGGTAAACAAGGTTGCCGCCACACAGTCGAAAGTAAGGATGCCGCTGCACACTTCAAATGCCCAACGCTTATGAGGACACGCTCCAGGCCCAAGGATGCCGCCACACAGTCAACATGCCCAGCGCTTCTGAGAACATGGTCGGGGCTCACTCGGACCTCTCCACAAGCGCATGCGTCAACGCCAGCACCATCGCCCAGGCCTGCGCCTGCACCAACGGCAGCGCCTGCGCCATTATCGACGCCAGCGCCGGCGACAGCACCAACGACGGCTTCAAATTACTGCTGCCTCCTCCCGTACTTGCTGCGGCCATGGTGCGCAGACCATGCAAGGACGCACAAACGGAACCAAGTCCGCACAAACGGAGCCAACATGCTTGAGCCATCAAGCTGGAGCCAGCACCAACGCCAGAGCATACGCCACCGTCGTCACCAGCACCGTCATCGCTGGCGCCTGCGCCAACATCGACGCCCACGACGCCACCGAGATCAGCATCGGCGCTGACAGCTGACACCTACGCCAGCACCAACGCTGGCGCCTACACTACCCCGACGCCGCCGGCACTGACGTCAGCAGCTACGCCTACGCACTCGCCAGCGCCACCGCCAGCGCCTTCAGCAACGCCGCGGCTAGCAATGACCCCAGCACGAACGATGGGGTTTGCGCCTACCTATACCTTCACCGAGGGGCTGGTCGTGATTCTCGTGTACTCGATGGTCTGAAGGCTTCCTGAGCGCGTGTGGGCAATTTCCCTCCCTCTCTCGGCTCCTCCTCCTCCTCCTCCTCCTCCTCTTTCTCCTCCTCCTCCTCCTTCTGGGCCGGTCCATTGTCCATGCTTGAATTAGACTTGTTCCTGTTGCAATTGGGCTTCGGGCCTCTTTCGGGGCGCCCGCCCGCTCAGATGCCTCGTCCCCTCCATTCGGCTGGGGTTGACGCCTCTGGTGGCCTCGGTGCGCCGCGGATGATTTACTCACATCCATTGTCTTTAGTTCCCCTTGTCTTCGACTGCCACTGTCTGTACTGCTCGAGTTTGGTAGCCCGCCAGCGGAGCCAATGGCTGTGACCTGGCGTCCTTTCCACTTTCTTTTCCTCCTTCTCCCCCATTCCGAGCTTTGTGCGACACGCCGGCGTCCACCCAGCAATGGTGCTGCCAGGTGTTGATTGATTCGGCTGGTTGCCCATACGCTATCGCCTTTTCTCCTCTTTCCCCTTCGCTGCCTCTCCTGCCTCCTAGCTGCGGCCCGATGTTGGCTCTTTCTTCATTTGAGTTTCGGGTTGACCCTGTAGAGTAATCCACAGGTGTCGCCGCAGCATTTCTTTAATCTGATAGCCGCCGCCTCGCGCCTTCTCGTGGCCTCCTCCGCCGCTCGGCTTCCGGCATGGGCCAGCTGCCGCGGGAAGCGTGCGGTTCGCACACCGTCCGTGGCCCAGGGAACCCGCGAGCCACCAGAGAGCTCCTAACTTTTGGGATTAAACGCCACGAATCAACCTGCCCGCCGCGTCGTGACGACCCAGAATCGCTTCAACACCGCGAATCAACATAGCTGTTGCACCCGCAAAATCTGGAATCCTTCAAAAACACATTTTTTGGTACGCTGATCACGGGGATCCGTGAAATTCTTGTAAACTTTGAAAACGAATGCGCGCGGCGCTAAGGCGAGAGCCACAGTTTGAAAAGGAACCGCCCTCAATCCGTGAAGCTCTTGCAAATGTTCAAACCGACTGCGCGCGGCGCCAAGGTGAGAACCACATCTACCTTGAGAACCACCCGCCTTCAGTCCGTGAAACGCTTGCAAATGTTCAAACCGACTGCGCGCGGGGCTAAGGCGAGAGCCACATTTTGAAAAACACCCGCCCTGAATCCGTGAAGCCCTTGTAAATGTTGAAAACGAATGTGCGCGGGGCTAAGGCGAGAGCCACATTTTGACCCCCCCCCCCGCCGTCCATCGGTGAAACTGTTGTGATTTTTTAGCTTCGGAGTCGTGCATGGTGAGGGAGTCTCAGGCGAAACGCCCGGCCCGCCTTAAACATTGGCCTCGGGGTGCGACAGGGGGAGGTTACTGATAAGGAAAAGGAATGGAGGAGGAGAGGAGGAGGAGGAGGAGGAGGAGGAGGAGGAGGAGGAGGAGGGGGAGGGGAAGGAAGACCCCCGCACCTGTTCACAGTAGTTACCTCGTGCATTATT